AACAAGCGTGGACTGAGGCAGGGTGACCCCTCCTCCCCTCTTATCTTTAACTTTGTTGTGGACGCCCTCTCGGCCATGATCACTAAGGAAAGGGGTGCCGGTCATATCCGCAGTGTTGTCTCACACCTTATCCCAGGAGGGGTCTCGCACCTCCAATACGCGCATGTTGCTCTTCGAGCCGGACAACCATAGTATAGCCTCGACTAAGCTCATTCTCCTTGCTTTCGAGATCGTCTCCGGTATCAAGATTAATTTTCTCAAGAGCAAGGTGATTGCCATTGGGATGGTTGAACCTCTCGCGTTGCGCGTAGCCAACCTTCTTAACTGTAAGCTTGGGAGCTTTCCGTTTAAGTACTTGGGCCTCCCCATTTCTGACAAATACATATCTATCAGAGAATGGGAACCCCTATACAATAAGGTAGCGAACCGGGTCAGCCCTTGGCGTGGTCGGTTCATTTCTTCGGCAGCTAGGCTCATTCTGACGAACACTAATCTCTCCTCCTTGCCCATGTTTACCATGGGCATGTTCCTCCTAGCAGACGGTGTTCATGCCAAGCTCGACACCCCCCGATCCAAGTTCTTCTGAGAAGGAACTGGGTCCAAAAAGAAGTACCACTTAATTAAGTGGGCAGCGCTATGCGGGCCAAAGAAATTTGGCGGCTTAGGATCCTCAACTCCAAACTCATGAACGTTGCCCTCCTCTCCAAGTGGCTCTGGAAACTCGCCCAAAACAAGAAGGGGCTCTAGGCGAAAATCCTTAGAGTGAAATACTTCCCCGACAGGAATTTACTTACCTCGAAGGCCAAAGGGTCGACATTCTAGAATGGGATCCAGGCTGTCAAAACCGGCCTTTGCGCTCGGAGCTAAGCTCAGCGTTAACGACGGCAAATCCACGCGGTTTTGGTTAGATCATTGGCTTGGTCAGGAGTCGTTGTGGCGTAGCCACTCCTCCATATACCAACTTGCTACTAACATTGACATCCTCATTGCCGATGCACTCAGATCCAACCCACCAGCCATCTCCTTCAAAAGGCCCCTCATAGAAGCCGAACGGGCTTCTTGGGACGAGTTACGTAACGCGCTTGCTGCAGTCATGTTGCGACCCAAGGCCGATTCGGTCTCTTGGTCTCTCACGAGCTCCTGGAAATTCTCGGTTAAGTCTCTCTACGCTAAGTTGACGGAGGGCCCAACACTAGACATAGCTAGGGGCTATGGAAAGTGTCCATCCCTCTCAAAATAAAAGTTTTCCTTTGGCAAATGTTCCGTGACCGCCTCCCATCCTCTAACAACATAGCAAAATGAAACATGTCGTCTGATGGCACTTGTTCGATGCGTGGTGCGCACGAAGATGCAAACCACATTTTCTTCAACTATCACCTCGCTCGTTTCGCTTGGAGTGTTGTTGTCACATCCTAGTTAGCCATGCATTAGAGTGTTGCATCATGTTTACTCTTTCACCAGAAACTTGAAATGGGGATCTGTGAAACCCTCAGAATCATTTTGAAAATGACCCAAATAAAAATTTCTCCAAAAGGGTCCAAGAAAATGCTCATGTTGCTCTCTGAAAATATTGGACAGAGATAAAAATCAAGCCAATATTTTTAAGAGCTCATAGGTATTTATTTTGGGCATTTGGAATTAATGCATAAATATTTGCATTGGAAATATATTAATTATATATATTAATATATGTCCAAATATTATGCCATAAATAAAGGAGCTCTGGAATAATATATCTAGCCCCTGCAAAAATTGGCATAAGTTAAATAAATGATTTAATATATTATTTAAATCAAAACAAATGTCAGAAATTAGAAAACAAAAAAAAAATAAAAGGGGGAGAAGCTTACCTGGGCTCCTCCACTGTGCGGCCCAGCCAGCTGGCTGGCCCAGCCAGCAGCCGGCCCAGCCCACCTCCCTCCTCTGTCGTCTTCGTCCCGACAGAGGGAGGGGAGTGTGGCCGGCGCGCGCGCGCGCCACCGCGCCACGCCACCTCTCTCCCTGCCTGCCTGCCCTCCCCTCCTCGCCTCGATGCCCCTGGACGACGCCACGCCTCCCCCCCTGCTCTCTCTCACTCTCCCCCGGCTCTTCCCTCCTCTCCCTCGCTCTCTC